TCTATGCTTTGTCCCAGTCAATACCCTCCATGGGTAACCTCTATTCCCATCATAACAGCAGTTTTGCCCATTACGTGGATGAGGATACTGAGGCTCAGAGATAAGAAGCGATGTGCCCATAGCTAGAAATAGCACTGGTTATGCTTTTGGAAGCCAAGCATGGTAGGAGAGCTGGAAAGAGGACCCAGCACGTTGGAACCTAACCTCCCGCTCAGCAGCCTTCCAGCTGTTCCCACAGCTCCCACCTCCCAGCACAGCCACCCCCTGCAGGGAGCACTTCCAAGATGCCCACCGCATCTGCACACCCCTCCTCTATACTCCTGCTGGTGCCAGAGTGCCTCACCTTGACTGGAGGACCCCCTGGGTGAGCAGAACCATGTCCAATCCCAAAAGGCTTAAGCCTGCAAGCCTTTACTTGAGAAGTGATTGAGGCTTAATTCTAGGAGCGAAATCGAGCAATTTCCTATTAGTAGCTGATAATCCCTCTCCATAGCCCAGCACTTGGCCACCCTGGTGTGCTGCGAAGTGTCTTTCGGGGATTCCTCCCCCTCCCATGTCCTCCCTGGGGCCATGTCTGATGAGCTTGGGCTGCAAGATTCTGTCCCTTGGGGGCTATGACATAAGAAGTGACCCCCCAGTCCTTTTAGGACCCTTGGCCTCCATGGCCAGTGGCATCTTGAATTTTTGCCAGACTCTCTGTCCCTGTGGGACCTGATGCAGAGCCTGCTTTTTGGTGCAGATTTTCTTGACCTCAGAACTCTCTGTAAACACGTCGCCTTATCCTCCAGATTATAGGAAGCAGCTTGGTTTACACCTGGCTCTGGTGTCTTACTGAGATGGTCTGGAGTCTCAGCTCTGGGACCTTTTCCCCTGTGTGACCTTGGGTAGGTTTCTTGAACTCTCTGTGTCAAAGACTGAGAGTGTCACCTCTCTTCTTCCATAGCAGTAGAGCCTCCAAATTTTAGCTCCAGCACACAGCCACCCAGAGGACATTTCCTAGATCCCTTGAATCTTGGTGACCATGTAATTAAGCTCTGGGAAACCATTCTTAACAGTCATGTGCCTCCTTTTTTATTCTGCCTTCGTGCATCTTCTACCTGGAACAAATAGGTGACATTGGAGCTCTTCCCACCATTTTGGACCATGATGACAAAGGTCGTGTCCTAAGGATGGTGGAGAAGTGACACCTGAGGACTTGATACAACAGAGCTGCCTTACCAGCTGGGACAGCTCACCTCTGGACTTTCACATAAGTGAGAAATAAATTTCACTCTTGGGGCCTCTGTTCCTTGCAACAGAAACTATTCCTAGCTAACATCCTCTCAACCTTGATTTCCTGATGCGTAAAATGGAGATAATGATGTTTGCTCCAAAGGTTGCTTTGAGGGGGACCAAGGAGGGTAACATACAAAAAGAGCATGCGTGCACGGGGAATGCTAAACACCTGGCCTCCCCCACCTCGTGCCTGACTCCTCAGCACATGCGTGCTGTGTCCAGTGCTTCTGGGTACTGAGGGTACAGAAGCAGGAGGTGCAGTTGATACCCTTGGGGGCTCCACACCATGGGGCAGCAGATGGGAAAACAGACAACATAACCAGTGTGGCCTGTGCTCGGCTAGCAGAAGAGGGTCACCACAGAGGTGGAGTGCCCCATCCAACTGGGTGGAAGATGCAGGGCCAGGTGGGGCTTTCTGGAGGAGGTGAGGCTGGAGCTGAATCTGGAACCCTGAGGAGGTTAGCTCAAGGGGAAGGACTGTGGTAGAGGACCCCATGAGCAAAGGCCTGCAGGCACGGCTGCAGGAGCCGTGTGTATGGAACTTCAGGGTTAAAGCGTAAGAGGGAAGAAGTAGCTGCAAGAGATGATGTGTTGCCTGCCATAAGCTGTCTCTGTAGGTCACATGGGCCAGGACCCCTGCTGGGCCTTGGTTACTGACAAGTGACCGGAGTAAGAAATGCATGCGCCTGTGCTTTAGAGTAGAACTATAGACACATGTCTACACACGCACACAGAGAGAATAAGATCACGCCCGTGCAGGACGGGGCTTGTTATACTCTGCTTGCATGCACCAGAAACTGACCTAAGCAAGAAAAGAGAAACTTGTGATTTTTTAGAGACAGAGGAGCCAGGCATGGTGACTCATTCCCTTCATCCCAGCAACTCCGGAGGCAGGAGGATGACAAGTTCAAGGACAGACTCAGTAATTTAGCAAGGCCCTAAGCAACTGACAATGCCCTGTCTCAAAATCAAACAATTTAAAAAGGGCTACTATGTGTGTCAGTGGTAAAGCGCCCCTGGGGTTCAATCCCCAGTGCCCAAAATAAAAATAAAAAATAAATAAAGACTGAGGACTATTTGTGGAATCCAAAGCCACCATCACAGCTGAGCCCCAACATACAAGGTCTGTGCCCCGAATGAGCATAGACTATAGGGTCAGCTTCAGGTTGAGTCTGAGCCAGGCACCCTGTAGCCCAATTTCAAATTCCTAGGTAGAACCCAGGGAAGTTGCCACTGCTCTCCAATCCCAGGGGCCAATGGTCAAGGTCACAGCAAACTAACTTGGCTCCCGGGAGACCATCCCAGTAAAAGAAAGGAGGTGGGGATGGTTTGGGGAACAATGGAAGACTGGGGAACCAGCCTCATGAGCACACACAGCACAACTTGGATGCATACCTTACGCTATTTGGCTTCTGGTCGCGGCTAAATCACGGAAAAGTGCCTGAGACAACATGTGTGACCCTGCTGCCTGGGGCTGCATCAGCCCTCAAATCAGGGCCAAATATCCCAGACTAGATCCTTCCAAACCCTGGTGCCTTCTCACCTGTCAAACCTGCTCCCATGAAAGCTTGAAACTCATTCTCACAAGCATGTAATTGACTACCCTGTACTAAATAGTCCTTAACAGTCAATCTCACAGAAGCTTAGCCCAGACCTCACCGTTTTCTGTCCCTAACATCATCCGTGGCTCCCCATTTATTGCAGGAAAAAAAACCTAATTAACTCAAACAGCATTTTAATATCCAAGGTCCTTTTTCACTACATTCAAAATACCTATTCAATCTTACCTCCTACTGTATACAACCAATGTGCCCATTTGTTTAGACACACACTTCAGATAAATGGAACAACTCTCTTTTTTGATGAAGAAGAAGAGGGAAAAGAGAACTTAGGGAGTTTTTAAGAAAAAAGTGTCCCCAGAGATAGAAGGGAGTATAAGAAGTGTTAGCAGAAGGCAAGGTTGGCAAAATGGACCCAGGCGAGAGAAGGACGGGGCAGAGGGACCAACAGGGGCTTGTCTTTGTCCCCACCATGCTCTGCACTCCAGGGCTGCGAACTAGAGAGAAAGAACAAGCAATAATGATAATAATGGCTGATATTCATACTCCATGAAATAGAAGAGCCAGGTGCGGTTTAAGGGCTTTTAAGTATATGAACTCATTCAGTCCTCATAATAGCCCTATAAGGTGTGTGCTATCCTTGTCCCCGGGTTACAGATGAGGAAACAGAGGCACAGTGGGGTGATCAAAGCCCTCGGGCTCCTCTGGGTCTACTCAGATCTCTGTTAGGATCCCATTTTGGGGTTTCTTCCTCCTCACTCATCGCTTTCTGACGTCCTTCCTCAGTCATCCTTTGTCTCTGGGCCTCTCCTTCTGCCTCCTGTTTCTGTCCCGTCTGCCTCATCTTCCCCCATCTGGTTAGTGTGTGCACACGGGTACACACACACACACACACACACACACACTTACACACTTATTTCCCACTCATCATCCATCAAAGTCATGGGGGCGCTGGCTCAGGGGCCAAGTGTGGTGTCAACCATGCAGTGCCAATGCCCTATGCTGGAGGAGGCTGTGCAGAGAGGCTGGGGAACATGGACGCCTGGGGTGGAGGAGACAGGGAAGGAAGGCTGTGCCCTAGTGGGCAGGCAGAGCATTTTATTTTATTTTGCAGTACTGGGGATAGAAACCAGATGAGCTACATCTCCAGCCACTTTTATTTATTTTTATTTTTTATTTTGAGACAGGGTCTCACTTTTGCTCAGGCTAGCCTCGAACTTGTGATCCTCTACTTCAGCCTCCAGAGTCACCGGGAATATAGGTGTGCACCATAGAGCCTGGCCAGAGAGAGTCTTAATTTGAGTTGACCTAAAATGGGCTTTGAAGTAAAAGAGGCATGGATATAAACCTTAACTCTCTAGAAGGGTCTGGAGAACCATCTGGATTCCAGTGGTTATTCCCAGCCACCTCCTGGAATGTGGTGAGGAGACTCAGAGTCCATCATATCCTTAGGGCCCAGCCCCTGAGGATGAAGCTCCATCCAGACCTGGGAGGCTGGGACAGCCACAGAGGGCTTGGCTGGGGGGAGCGCCAGGCTGAGGTTCAGGGCAGTAGTGAATCCGATTCCATAGGAGATGGAGGAGTCCTGGGGTGTCACTTTGGTTCTCCCACTGCCCTTGAACCCTCTCCTTTTCATCTGTTCTTTTTAAAAATTATTAATTAATTAACTTATTTTAATTAGGTATATATGACAGCCGAATGCATTTTGATCCATTGTACACAATCACAGCACAACTTTTCATTTCCCTGGTTGTACACGATGTAGCATCGCACCATACATGCGGTCACCCACGTACCTAAGGTGATGATGGCCGACTCTTGGTGCACAGTGTCTCCCAGCAAGGATCCGGCACGGCAGCTCTCCCGCACACCTGGAAGGGTTGAAGGCTGCACTTGGAAGTCAGTGCCATGCTAATGGGATGATGTCAGGATGTGTGAAGTGCTCAGCCATCTGTTCTTGTCAGTGATTCTTTACCATCTGCATTAGGGTGCCCTAGCGTGGCAGAATTAGCAGGGAAAAAAAAATATTAGCCCGAAGACTCAGCGCCAGGGCTCTTGCATCTGGATGTGCACATTATGCTAAGTTAATGAACCCCAGCACCAGGGGTCAAATCAACATCCTACTAACCCAACGCTGGTTGACGGACAGTCTCCAGATTGTGAATGTACTTTTGGACTCTGGTTTTTATTGACTCAAAAATCAGAAACTTCTGCCAGGAACAGACGCTGGCAAGAGATAGAAATGCAGAAAACACGTACACACGAATCAAATTAGGATGAGATGCGAGGATGGGCGGCGGTGGGATATGATTCTTCAGAGATGATGGATTCTCATCCTCCAGAGTTCTGCTCTACTTCTGGGTTCAGACTTTGTCCTGTGATTATAAACATTTCCTTTGATTTCCTCTGTGTAAGCTGGAATGTTCTGGCCGGGCCTTCTTCTGGACCACATAAAAGCTGTAAGAGATTTATAAATAGACTTAAAATCACAGGATTGTTTTCCCACCGTTTGTTCTGTCAATTGAGATGACTGAGGAGTGAGAAGTGACAGGCTGCAGTCGGGTGGGACTTGTTCCTCTCCCCCTGGCCTGGGACAAATCCATCCTTCCTGCCCTCTTTATCAGGACCCCTGGAGGCTGGGAGAGGAAGCTACTTCCCAGCTTTCTTTACACTTGGCCAGAGGGGCAGAACGTGAGAGCCTTCAGCCAGCCCCCACCTACCCAACCCAGGGACTTGGGACAGTTGAATTCTAGAAAGATCCTCTTGAATTTTAATAACCCAAACTCACTAAAAAGTGTTAGGGTGAAAAGACAAGTGTTGTCAGACTCGTCTTCCACTCCTCCCCTTTCTCTGGCCCCTCCCTCCTCCTCGTGCTTCTCAACCCAAAGTGCTTTTGGCCACCTGGGAACAGTTGGCCAAAATGTTGGAGATACTTTCAGTTGTCACTACTGGAGGTGGTCGTGGGTGCTGTTGGCATCTAGTAAATTGAGACCAGAGATGCTGTTAAACATTCTACAACACACAGGACAGTCCCTCATGACAAAGAATGATCTAGCACAAAGTGTCAGTGGTAAAGAGGTTGTGAGCCTCTGAGCCAGGGTAATGGAACCCAAGGGTGGGGGTGGGTAAATGGACCCAGGGATCAGTTCTGGTGAGGGAGCCATTTGTGGGTGAGTCCCCACAGACAGGCTTCTGGGGAGGGCGCTCTTGGCTTGGTGGCAAAAAAAGATCATCATCTGCCCCATTCTAGAGCCCCAAGAACTTGAGAGCTGGGGGGCAGCAGCAGTGGGGGTGTCTGCAGAGGGCAGTTAGGTGGGGCAGGTTGGCTTGGTGTGAGGTGGAAGACCAGGGGTGGAGTTAACACAATATCCTGTCCCCCCAAAACAGGGGCTGGGGACGGTGCAGGCTGTCCCTCCAGAGCAGAGAGGACAGAAGGGCTGGCTGTGTTGGAGGGGTGCACAAAATTGGCCACAAAGTGTCTGTCAAGGCTTCTCTCTTCACTGTTGATCTCAGGGGCAGCATTACTGCAGCCCATTATAGCCCTAACCAGAGACAAATACAGTAGCATTAATTTAATTTTATTTACATTTCAGAGTCATTCAGAGGGAATAAATTGAACAAAAGTTGATTGAAAGTGTCCTCCAGGATGGGCCCTGAGCTTCCTCAGGCTGCGAGGCTGTGATGGAGGATGGCAGCAGCTCTGCCCAGAGCACCAGCCTCCCCAGAAGCCAGAAGAGAGGAACCTGCAGGCAGGCGGGCAGCCTGGGCAGGGCCAGCGGGCAGGGCCAGTGGGCAGAGCCAGCCCTCTCCTTTCACTGCCCGCCACCCGCTCCCTAAATAGCTTATCCTTTCTCGGCTCCAGATTTCCTCCCAGGCCTGAGAAGCCTTCCTCCCCTCAAAGCCATCCTCTAATTAGATCCAAATGCGACATGTTCAAGTGGACTCTGACCTTGCCTCCTGACACTTGGCTGAGTTCTGGGGATATAGAGATGAGCAAGCCACCCGTGTGGACTTTGGAGTTGGGACGGGTCTTCCACTTTGGCCAGTTCAGAGTTTTGTGATTGGGGTGAGTAGTTGAACCTCTCAACGTCTTAGTTTCCTCATCTCTAAAATGGAACTAAAGCAGGAAAAACAAAGGAGCTACTTTAAAAAGGCTGATGAGGTCCCTCCTAACTCCTGAGTGGACGACTCTTTCTCTAGGAAAGCACCTTGATGAGTCTTGGCAGATGATCTGGGGGAAGCAGGAGGACCTGTGGGCCCCACTTGGTGGGGAGACCTGAACTAAGAAGAACTGAATGGCTTGGCATTGCAAAGTGCAGAGAATAGAGGCCCGAGCCAGGGAGAGGAGAGAAAATCCAGAAGGGCCTGGAGCTGACGGTACAAACCAACCCAATGCAGGATGATTTTATTAAAAACCTTCCCCTCCTCCAGCCTTAGGGACACTTGGCTGGAGCTGAACACAGGGGTCCTTGTTTCACGGGTCCATGCTTACAGTTCATCTGCTACAGCTGGCTTTGAACTTGCGATCCTCCTGCCTCAGCCTCCTGAATTGCTGGGATTACAGACGTGCATCAGCACACCCAGCTGAGCATCTTTTTATATGCTTACTAACTTCTATATCTTCTTCAATGAAGTGGAAGTCTCCTTCCACTCAGCCCAGTTCAGCCAGCTATGCTACTTTCCTGTCCCATTTAGGATTTGGAGTTTGTGCTCCTCACTGGGGACAAGGGGGTGGGTAATCACAGGGTGCAGAAGGACCCAGGAGGGACTCACCAAGGATACAGAGAATGGTTGATAACCGTTGTAGGATTTGTGGTGCCCTGGGTTGTAATTCCTCCCCATTGACCCCAACTCTTCAGTAAAAGTCAACATTGTCATGATGGGTAAGTGGCACTTGGAGGGGATGAGGAAAGAAAGGTGACATCCAGTGTGGAGCACAGTGTTGCCATTAAAAGACAGAAGCCAGGGCTGGGGGTGGAGCTTAAGCAGTTGAGCACACGCTTGGCACACATGATGCCCCACCTTCCACCCCCAGCCCCACCCCCCAAAACAGCACAGTGTCCAGGGAGCCCAGGGCAAAAGTTAAGAGCCCTGTGAGAGAAGAGAATGTGGCCACCACGCTGCTCTGTGTTTCTAAGAACAGGCCACACTCATCTACAGCGAAAATCAGCATGGTGGGGTGGGGTGGGTTGTGGCTCAGTGGCAGAGCGCTTGCCTAGGATGTGTGAGGCCCTGGGTTTCATCCTCAGCACCACATATAAATAAATACATAAAATAAAGATATTGTGTCTATCTACAACATATATATTTATATATATGTATAGAGAGAGAGAGAGAAAAGAAGTCAGCATGGTGGTTACTATTGTGGAGAACAGGCCAGGAGAGACCTTCCGAGGTGCTTGATGTTCACTATCTTGTCTTGATATGAGTGGTGTGTGTGTGTGTGTGTGTGTGTGTGTGTGTGTGTAAATCAAGCTATACATTTAAGATTTGTGTACTTTTTGGCATGCAAGTTATGCCTCAATAAAAACAAACAAAAAATAAGAAACAAAAAGAGTAACTTAATAACATTACAGAGTGGTACGATCCTCACCACCATCTTTCTGTCCATTTGGCCTCATTTGCATTTCCTTTCCCACCTCCAACCCCTTTTAACTACAAATGTGCCTTTTGCTTCGACAGATTTCCTCTCCTGGATATTCCATACTCGTAGAAACATAGACATGAACTCTCTCATCTGAGCTGAGTGTGTTTTTGAGGTGCACTCATGTTGCTGACGCCTGTGTCCGTGCTCTCCCCGCTTTTGTTGCTGAGCAGTGTTCTAATCCACGGCTCTGTCATTCACCACTTAAGTCATAGTTGGGTTGTTTCCACTTTGGGACTATGATGAATAATGCTGCTATGAAGAGTGGCATTGTGTAGACATGTATTTTCATGTATCTTGTGGGGTCAGATAACTAAGGGTAGAATTGTTATATAATGAAGTTATGTTTGACCTATTAAGAAACTGCCAAACTATGTCCCAAATTGGTCGTGTCATTTTACATTCCTACCATATTACAGCCCCTATGAGGGTTCCAGTTTTTCTACTTCTTCACAAAGACTTGTTAATGACTGGAATGACTTTCCCCAACAAGAAGTAAATGTGAAGTGATCTTTCCTTGTAGTTTCACTCTTCATTTCCCTAAGGACTAATAATGTTGAACATCTTTTTTTTTTTTTTTTTTCCTGGTACCAGGGATTGAACCCAGGGGCGCTTAACCACTGAGCCACATTCCTAGCACATTTAATTTTTTATGTTGAGGCAGGGACTCACTAAATAGCTCAGGCCCTCACTGACTGCTACAGCTGGCTTTGAACTTGCGATCCCCCTGCCTCAGCCTCCTGAATTGCTGGGATTACAGACATGCATCAGCACACCCAGCTGAGCATCTTTTTATATGCTTACTAACTACTCATATATCTTCTTCAGTGAAGTGTCTATTTAAATTTCTTGTCCATTTAAAAAAAAACGTTAGTTTTAGTTGGACACAATACCTTTATTTTATTTATTTATTTTTATGTGGTGCTGAGGATCAAACCCAGCACCTCTTGTGTGCTAGGCAAGTGCTCTACTGCTGAGCCACAACCCCAACCCTATCTTGTCCATTTTTAATTGGATTGTTTTTCTTTTTATTATTGCACCTCATCAGTTTCTTACATATTTTGTATACGAATCCTTTATCAGGCATATGATTTGCAAATATTTTCTCCCAATGTGTGGGAAATCTTTGCATTTTTAAAAAAATATTTTTAATTGTCAATGGACCCCCATTTTGTTTATCTATAGGCGGTGCCAAGAATTCAACCTGGCACATCACACATGCTAGGCAAGGACTCTGCCACTGAGTCACAACCCCAGCATTTTGCTGGGAGTGTCTTTTGAAGCACAAGTTTGCATGGACTTCTTTTACTTTTAATTTATTTTTACACTAACGGTCTAAAGATAAGGTCTAAAGATAAGGCCTCTCAATGGTATGTTTTCATTTTATCAATGCATTGTAATTATACACAATAGTGTGATTCATTGTGACAAATTTGCATATGTGCATATCATAATGGTCAATTTCTTTGCCTAGGACCTCCCTTTCCTTCCTCATCTATATACTGGTCTTCCTTCTATTTTTGTAAGACCTCTTTCCTTGTTTTTTTTTTTTTTTTCTCTCTAACTTCCACACTTAAGCAAAAACATATGACCTTTGACTTTCTTTTTCTTTCTTTTTAAAAAATGTTTTTCAGTGCTGGGAATTCGTCACACATACCAAGTAAGCACTCTATCACTGAGCCACATTCCCATTCTGACCCTTGACTTTCTGAGTCTGACTTATTTCACTTAGCATAATGCTGTCAAATTCCATCATCTTCCTGCAAATGACATAATTTCATTCTTCTTTATGGCTGAATAAAACACCATTGTGTATATATACCACATTTTCTTTATCCATTCATCTGTTGATAGATACCTAGGCTGATTCCATAATTTGGCTGTTGTGAATTGTGCTGCTATGAATGTGGGTATGCATGTATTACTATAGTATGCTGGCTTTAATTCTTTAGAATGAATACCATGGAATGGTATACCAAGGTGGATCAAGTGGTGATTCCATTCCTAACATTTTAAGAAAACTTCATATTGATTTCCATAGTGGTTGTACTAATTTACAATCCCACCAACAGTGTATAAGTGTTTCTTTTCCCCCCACATCCTTGCCAGTGTTTATTATTTATATTTGTGTGTGTTAATTTATTTTTACACTAAAGGTCTAAAGGAGTGTGTGTGTGTGTGTGTGTGTGTGTGTGTGTGTGTGTGTGATGGGAATTGAGCCCAGGGGCACTTAACTACTAAGTCACATTCCTAGCTCTTTTTAAAAAAATATTTTGAATATTTTTTAGTTGTCAACGGATCTTTATTTTTAAATTTATTTATTTGTATGCAGTGCTGAGAATCAAACCCAGTGCCTCACACATGCCAGGCAAGTGCTCTACCACTGAGCTACAAGCCCAGTCCCCCCAGCACCTTTTATATTTTATTTTGAGACAGGGTCTCACTGAGTCACTCAAGGCCTCACTAAGTGGCTGAGGCTGGCTCTAGTATAATTTGATATCAAGTATGGGATTCCTCCAGCATCGCTCTTCTTGCTTGGTATTACATTGGCTATTCTCATTCTTTTCTTCTCCCAAAGGATTTTCAGGAATGTTTTTTTCTAGTTCTATGAAAGCTGTCATTGGTATTTGGGTGGAGATTGCACTGAAGCTGGGGATTGTTGGTAGTATGGCCATTTTAAAGACATTAATCCTGCCTATCCACCAACATGGGAGGTCTTTCCATCTTCTGGACTCTTCAATTTCTTTGTTCAGTGTTCTATCTATAATTTTCTTTGAAGAGGTTCTTTGCCTCCTTGGTTAGATTTATTCCTAGGTATTTATTTTTGAGCCCATTTTGAATGGAATCGTTTTCCTGATTTCTTTTTTAGCGGATTCATTATTGGTGTCTAGAAAGGTTGTTGATATTGGAATGTTGATTTGTATCCTGCTACTTTGCTCCATTTTTACATTAGTTCTGGAAGTCTTCTGAGTAGGAGCTTTTTGGATCTTCTAAGCATAAGGATCATAACATCTTCAAACAGTGATAATTTGACTTCTTCCTTTTCTATTTGCATCCCTTTTATTTCCCTCTCTTGCCTAATTGTTTTGGCTAAAATTTCAAGGACTGTATTGAAGAGTGATGGTGAGAATGGATATCCTTGTGTTGTTCCAGGTTTTAGAGGAAATGCTTTTAGCTCTTCCCCATTCACTATGATGTTGGTTTGGGGTTTGTTGTATGTAGCCTTGATGATGCAGAGGAAAGTTAATTCTATCTCTAGTTCTTTCAGTGTTTTTTTTTTTTTTAAATCATGAACATGTATTGAATTTGTCAAAGACCTTTTCTATATCTCTGTGATTTTGTTACTTAATTCTATTTATGTGGTTACATTTATTGATTCACATATGTTGCATTGTCCTTTCATCCCTGGAAAGAAACCAACTTGATCTTGATGTACAATCTTTTCAATGTGCTGTT